CATGTTTGGGGAGCGGGGGGAGCCTAAGGCGATCGGAAGCAGAAGTTGTCCTCCCACTTCCCTTCCTCCCCGTAGTCTTCTGGGACATGTGACAGGTCCCAGAAGACTAGGGGACCATTCACAAAGCGCATCGCTACTTGCACATGCGCAGTGGGCACCCGGCTGTGAAGCCGCAAGCTATCACAGCCAGGTGCCCACACTGAAGATGCCGGCACTGGGGAGAGAAGACGGCCGGTGAAACCTGCCATGGTGAGGACACCGCTGGACCGAGTGACAGTTTTTGTAGCTGCTGACTTTTATTTATTTTTTTAATTAACTGGAACTCCGCTTTAAGGAGTTCTATGGTCACAGCACACACTTTCATTTTATAATATCAGCAGCCATTGTAATAATAATACAAACAATAGTTATACTGGACAATCCAATATAAGCTTACTTATATGCATGCTTTAAAGCCTCTCCTCAATGTCTAAGGACTACATATCCCATGGTACCTAGCTGCCTGCAAGTGGTAATTCCTGTACTGACTCCTCCTCCTGAAGCTCCTCCTCTCAGCACATCTGTAGTACATAAGGCGGGCTCTGTGAAATGTGTGACACAACAGTGCTACTCACAGGGCTTAGTGACTACAGGTCACAGAATTCAAGGAAGAAAATGTGTGGGGAACTTCACACATAAGTTTACAAACTTCAGAATCATTCAGATTAATAGGAGTAGACTAGAAATATTTAAAATACAATGTGGAAGTTCATATATGATTTTACATTTTGATCACAGATATACTTTAAATGTAGAAAATCAATGTGCATGTAAAAACAGATCCAGTACAGTATCATTACTCCTGATTCGGAGCCGTCCTTAGTCACAGATCTCTTTTGCTTCCTCTCATCTCTCAGTTGATTTAATACTGCCTTCGGAACTTCTGTCATCCTGGCCATCTTTCTGATAATAACCCTCTATGCCAAAAGCTGGCCCTACGCTGTTTTTTTTCTCTTCTTTTTTTAATGTGCAGCCAGCGGGCTGAATGAAAAAAAGAAAATAGGTTCCTCTATTCACACAATCGAGGTGGATGGAGGAATATATCATTGTATTCTGACAGCAGCACCCGCGTATGTATGAAAGTCAGATTTTTTTTTTCCCTTGACCCTGTCCATGTTATCAGATCACATCACATCAATGGAAGTTGGATGCGACACTCTTGGACAAAGCCCAGCTCTCTCCTGGCTAGAAGAGAGATTTTCATCAAGTCCATTGTGATTACTTCTCAACTTTACATGATACAATATACAGAAATTAAGAGCATCTGTGCATTCACATATACAGGGGGCTGCCTATATATTGCATAGTGCAATATAGGGTAATTATTATTATTATTATTATTATTACTACGAGTTTATATAGCGCCAAAGGGTTTGCTCAGCGCTGTACAATAGGGGGGGACAATACATGGCACAGTACAACAAAGACAGACAGCGTACGAGGGGTAAGAGGGCCCCACTCTTACGAGCTTACAATCTAGGAGAGGTAATGGCCATTAGGGTGCCTATCAGAGTGGTGATGAACTGTGGGTGACAATGGTTCATGTCATTGTTGTAAGAGAAGGAGGGGCAGGGAGTTAAAGCAGAACGTCAGCCAAAAATAACAAGATAAAATAAAAAGCTCTTTAAAAGAAAAAATAACAAAACTAGATTTTGCTGCCATATTCACCTTCAATCCAGTGATTTCCCTGTGGGACTTTTTTGCCGCTAGATGTCCTCAGTCTGATGGCCACCATCATTCAACCCACATCATAGTTACATAGTTAATCTGGCGGAAAAAAGACACACGTCCATCCAGCCCAACCAAGAGAAGAAAAACTTCCTCTGAGCCCAGATCATCCTGGACCCACCTCAGCCTGTGATTGGACAGTAAAAGGAGAAGCAGCACTGCGATCAGTGCATTTCATGGTCAGTCTGCTCTCTCCTCCTATCAGCATGCTTGTTGCCAGCACATGAACTGATTGGCTTATTGTACTGCTCCTTCCTCTCTCTCCAGCCCTGCTGTACATAGACAACAGTCTCCTCTCCACGGTGATTAGACTGCACTATTGTAACTTTACAGTAAGTCACAAGGTGAGAGGCTGCAACAGGGACTGATCTATGTCAGTTGTGAACATGGCAAATAACTGCACAGGCATTAGAAATGACATGGTTGTGTAATCTCTCAACCAATAGCAACCAGGAGATAGGAGGCTACCTTGGATGGTACATTGATGACACCATCTGTCTAGAGCAGGGGTGTCAAACTGGCGGCCCTCCAGCTGTTGCAAAACTACAAGTCCCATCATGCCTCTGTCTTGGGAGTCATGCTTGTAACTGTCAATCTTGCAGTGCCTCATGGGACTTGTAGTTTGGCAACAGCTGGAGGACAACCAGTTTGACACCTGTGGTCTACAGCAAAAAGCAGATGAAGACATTGTTGGCGGAGTACTATGATCTCTGTGAAAGGTATCAAATACCTTAAAGTGTCACTAGGCTTGTGCAGCCTGGAGTGAGGAGCGAGCTGTATTCCCCCTCCTCAATCATGGCCTCTGTAGAGAGGAGAGAGGTGCAGCTACGGTTCTGCAAGAAGATCCACGCGCGCTCCTGCTCCCCCTTGACAGCAGTGACTTGACCCAATCAGTGACAGGGAGGAGAACTAAGGACTTTTCCAGGCAAATTGATCAGAGATTGGGCAGAATGTAGTGCAGAAAAGGAGAGGGAAAGGACTGTGCTGTGGGAACCATCCCAGGGGAAAGATAGAGAGAGACTGAGCTGCTGGAAAGCCCTTTGCTGTGCTCAGATCCAGAGAGTGCAGAATTTCGACTTGTGTGCTGAGGGACTGAGCCATCACCAGAATACAGTTCATGGAGTGCTGAGGACTGGAGTCTCCCCAGGCAACTTCGAGTGAATGGACATCTAACCAGAGAAACCACTACTACTGTATCCCTGAGTCTGGTCAAAGGGCCTTGCAGTAATGACCTGTTGCCCCTAGAGACTGAGCCCTTAGAGCCACTTATAGCTCTATTACTGCCTGCAGGCCTTATTGACTGTGCACCAGCGATACCATTGGGCCGTAATGCTAGCCGGCTTAAAGACTGCTTCTTTACAGTAGCTACACAAAGACCCCCTCACTTAGTTTAAGAGGAACCTCTAAGAAAACGCTGTACCAGACCCTATCCATTTCCTTAGAGTGCACTCTAACCCAGTTGTAGTATTATTATTCACATTGCAGTTAACGTTTATATGCACAGTTTATTGCTGAATTTGCTGATCCATGTGTTGATTTCAGTCTAGTGATACAGAACTCTATTCTAAGTTACTTTGGTATAGCTATTATACTGTCTAGCAGACTGTGTCCAAATCTACCTTCTGTGTGTTCATTCACGCTCAAACCACCATTTTATCCTAACTTGTACTAGTACACTGAGTTAATTTACCACTAAACGGTCTTGCATTTATTTCCTTGTGCTATTTCACAGCCAAGTTAAAGGTATTTATACTCCTGTTCTTATAAGTACTTGCAGTAACATTCATTCACCCAGGTGTGTCAGAGGGGCTGAGGGTGTTCTTGGAGTTGAGACGCAGAATATTTTGTCCACTAATGTAATAGGCATTTTTGCCACTGACCACGAATGAAATGGTTTAAGTAAGGGTCCCCATGAGACCTGGAAAATGATTTTAGGGGTCCATCTGGGGTAAAATGGTTGAGAAAGACTGGTGTAGACTATTGGAAAGATGACAGCACCACAACATTCAGAAGTCCAGTAAGACTTTCACTTGCCAAGTCATGTAAACAGAAATCTAACATTTCCGGGGGCTCAGCAATCTCTTCATCAGGGCTAGTATACTGGCAGTGAGTTAAAGTTTCACCTGGCAGCTGTTGTTGCATAAAAGGAATCAAAGATGAGTTGCCAGACTGACAGCCATATTGTGTTATGTTTTATATATATATATATATATATATATATATATATATATATAAAGTTAAATAAATAAATATATATATATATATATATATATATACAGGCTTGGTGATTTTTCAGACTTGCATATTAAAAAAGTCAGTTGTTGTTTGGAAGTAAACATCATTCTTCTTGTGTTAACATTTCTTGGACAAAAGCCTTTGAAACATACTGTCCTTTAATACAATGGGAAAATAGATACCATCAGGGGCGGACTGACAACTCATGGCCCCCCTGGGCAATAGGGGATCATGGGGCCCCTGTGTCCTTGCCCAAACTCAAAAAAGCCTATGAAAAAGGTACCAGGGGCATCTCATGGGGCCCCCTACTGGCAGTGCCCGAGTTTCCAAATGGTCAGTCCGCCCCTGGATACCATTGTTGTATATTGGGCAAATGTAAAAAAATGTGTGATGCACATTTTACACATTTTAGTTGCTCCCATTGTTTTGGAGGATTTCTGGTCAAACACTGCACCCAGGCTACATCAGTAAAAGTCAACAATAGCTTGACCTTTTGACACAATAAAACTATGGCATGTATAATAGTACTGTGCTATCTAGATTATAATAGTACAGTGCTATCTAGATTCTGCATTAGAAAAATGCTTTTCTCATAGAAACTAGTGTAGAAAGGAAGAGGTGAAAGGATGCACTTATGTGGTAATGGCTATCCAGACTTTCTTAATAAAAGGCCAGCAGCATAAGGTGAAAGGGGGCTCCATAACAACATGAAGAACTAAGAAGGAAAGGCTGTGTCAGTGGGGACTTCAGAAGACCAAAGAAGGAACTTCACCTGGGGATGGTGCTAAATCTACCCTACAAGAGCACCTGAAATCCTGCACTCGCTTGAATAGAGCCTGAAGCTCTATTTGTTATGGAAATAGCTCAAGCTAAGTAACTTTTTAATGTATCCCTATTGCATACAAACCATTGTCAATTCTCATTTCTTAGGAAGGTTAGGTAGTATGTACAGGTGCATTGTATGCAGGGGCGAACTGACCATTGGGAAACTTGGGCACTGCCCGAGGTCAGTAGGGGGCCCCATGAGATGCCCCTGGTACCTTTTTCATAGGCTTTTTTGAGTTTGGGCAAGGACACAGGGGCCCCATGATCCCCTATTGCCCGGGACCCCATGAGTTCTCAGTTTGCCCCTGATTGTATGCATATCTGTAATACTCTGTATGTATGTAGTCTGATTGTACAACATTCTTCGTTAGTAAAAGCACATTCATATACTACAGGGGCTTGAAAACATAAGAAAGCATAAGTACAGCAAAGTGTGGAAAGGTAGATCAGAGTACAGGCTTGCTTTACCTGTGATTTGTTAAGTACAACAGTATATATGTTTTAATCTAGTATTTCACAGTCTGGGAGGCTTTGCTCTTTAATATTACTACAATGAAGTCACTATATTCTTACATTAAGGATCATTTATGTCACCATTACAGACTTTTCTGACTTTCTTCTTCCCACTCCAGTGTGTGATTTTGGTGTAAAACTACTTCAAGCTGTGTAAAATATCTCATATTCAATTATTTAAAGGCAGTACTTTTAAAAATTGAGAAACGCTGCAGGGCCTTTGTGATTACGACAAGTAAAAGGAAAAAATGGAGATTTCTTAAATCAAAATATTTTCATTCTTCAAGCCGCAGCAAAGGAGGAATGATGCAGGAACCGGCAGATAAAATCCTTTGCGTGGTCCCATTGCCCAGAATATCTGGTATTTGTTTCACTTGGGGGACACAGCGAGGATGAAGGAGATATTTTGTTCTGCTAATTAGGACCTCAGAATTCTTATCCAAGTAGATCTGTAAATGGCAGGCTGTATAGGGTGCTCGAACCCATGGATTAAAATATATTTTGCGATGTGAAATAAAAATAAATAACAATGCCAACGAGAATGGAGCGACGTGGATGGGAGGGGCGCAAGAATAATTAATGTCAGCCTAACAAGCTTGCAGAACGCTACTTCGGTGGCATTGTCTGCGTAATAAATATGTAGAGGAGATATGTCATTTATCTATACATAGCAGTTCTGAGAATGAAGCACAGACGCCATCTGTAGTTTAGCAACTTAAAGAGAACCTATCATAAGGGAATTATGAGTTGGCAATGCTGAGCTCTTTCTGATAATGCTAGTGACCTGGATGTCAAGCTGATCCTCTGGATTTAGTGCTTGGAGGACTTCAATGGCTGCATGTTTGTTTTATGTCAGTAGCTGACCACCAGGAATTTCTGCCCTGTGGTTTCTGGGACCTGCACATTTAAAGCAGATCTTAGATGTTAAGTAACAATTTTCATCCTAGGAAAAAAAATGGTATTTTTTGCTCCTGTACTCATCTAAACTTTAGAGCTTTCTGCCACAGCCACTACTTTTCTGGGTTAAATGACGATCAGTGGGCGGGAAGGGTGTTACTTGAAAATCCATCATATTTCTCTCATTACAGGTTCACTTGAAATTGACCACATAAAAAATAAGAGAGAATATGATACAAAATAGAGCATTTTTTGCAGTTCATGAGTATATTCTGATTTGTTTCGGTGTCTACAAAGAATGCCTGTAAGACGTGTATGTAGCATTCAGATTGGCTGATCCTTTGCTTACCTTTATCTAGCACTATTCCTCCCACTAACATATTGTACTATTCCTCACACCAACAATGGGGCACAATTCCTCCCATTAAACACCAATATTGAGGCACAATTCCTCCCATTGACACCAATATTGAGGCACAATTCCTCCCATTGACACCAATATTGAGGCACAATTCCTCCCATTGACACCAATATTGAGGCACAATTCCTCCCATTGACACCAACAATGGGACACAATTCCTCCCATTGACACCAATAATGAGGCACAATTCCTCCCATTGACACCAATAATGAGGCACAATTCCTCCCATTGACACCAACAATGGGACACAATTCCTCCCATCAACACCAATAATGAGGTTCAATTCCTCCCATTGACACCAACTATGGGGCGCAATTCCTCCTACTTGCACTAGCAATCCCGCATGATTCCTCTCACTGACAACAATGATGGGGCACAATTCCTCTTAATCGCCCAAACAATGGGGCACAATTCCTCCCACAAACACCAATGATAGGGTACAATTTCTCCCACTAACAACAAATATGGGGCACTGTTTCTCTCACCAACAGCAATAAAGGGGCACAATTCCTCTTACCAACACCAACTATGGGGCACAATTCTTCCTATATGCACCAGCAATCTGGCATGATTCCTCCCACTGACAACAATGATGGGGCACAATTCCTCCCACCAACATCAACAATGGGGTACAATTATTTCCACTAACACCAAATATGGGGAACAGTTTCTCCCACCAACACCAATCATAGGGCACAATTCCTCCTACTGACATCAATGATGTGGTACAATTCTTTCAATTAACACCACATATGGGGCACTATTTCTCACACTGACACCAATTAAGAGGCCCAATTCCTCCTACTGTCACCACTAGTGTGGCACAATACCTCCAACTGACACTATTGATGAACCACAGTTTCTCCTATTGACACCAACAGTGTCAATGGGAGAAACTGTGGTTCAATTCCTCCCATTGACGGGGTACAATTCCTCCCACTGACAGCAATGATGTGGTATAATTTCTCCCACTGACAGCAATGATGGGGCACTATTTACCACTGACACTAATGATGGAGCACTATTCCAACAACTTTCACACACCAGCAGTGGGGTCTTCTTTATTTATTTATTTCAGGTACTTATATAGCGTCATCAATTTATGCAACGCTTTTTACATATATATTATACATTCACATCAGTCCCTAACCCTCAAGGGGTGTACAATCTAAGGTCCCTAACTCACATTCATACATATACATACTAGGGACAATTTAGACAGGAGCCAATTAACCTACTAGCATGTCTTTGGAGTGTGGGAGGAAACCAGAGTACCTAGAGGAAACCCATGTAGGCACAGGGAGAACATGAAAACTCCAGGCAGGTGGTGCCGTGATTGGGATTCAAACCAACGACCCTAGTACTGCCAGGTGGAAGTGCTAACTATTTAGCCACTGTGCTGCCACTGATACCAGTGATTAAGCACAATTCCTCCCCCTGCCACCAATGATGGGTTACTATTCCTCTTGTTGACATCAACAATGATGTATTATTCCTCCTTTCACTGACCATAGACGGTAGATCAATTTTTACTCCCACTGGCCACCAACCCTAGGTCATTTTTTTGCTCCAACTGACCACAAAACCCAGGGAATTCAGTTGTATGTATGAATAATTATTGAAACCATCAGCATTGGACTGAATAGCTCAAGGCAGTCCCAACAGAAGGATAAAGCAAGAAACTTATGTCCTAAAGCTTCAATTCACATCAATGCACTTCCCCCATGTGTGCTAAAATAAATGAAAGGACATTGCATTCCAACATGCTGCAATGCGTAGTGATGCAGGGTTTGAGCAAGTTAAAAAAAAAGGAAAAAAAGATAAAAAAAGCACTAGAACATGTCAAAAACTTGCAAAGCGCCACAGCACATCAAAACAGCTTATGCATGTAAGACTTGCGGTATGGCGTGTCACCTATACTAGTTATCACACGGGGGGGGCCAGTAGGCATTTTGAATGCATCTTTGAACACGCCACATACCAACAAGTTATGTTTCAGCAGCAGAGAAGTCATATTTAGAGAATGTGAGGATTAGGGAGAAAATCCAATCGTATTATGTTGTACTAATTAAATGGAGTCTGTTAAGAAGCTTACTCCTTCAGGTCTGCACAGTCATTGTTGGCTTTGTTTACGTATTTTCTAAGCATTACCTTGTTTTCTTTTTTCTGCTATATTTTTTTCTTAAAAAGAGTTTATGGATATGACAACAAACAAAACATATCATATAAAGTACAACAATAACTGCCACAATAAAAAAATGTCAGTTATTTCATTACCTGAGCTGCGTGTAAGACACAAGATGTACTGTGCCCTATGAGGATTCTGAAAGGTAGAATGGGAGAACGTATTTGAGCTCAAATAATGTACAACGACTCACCTCTCTAATGTTTCTGGGTATTTTTTGAAGCAGCGTGGGGGAGATTTCCCATCGTTCTTGTTTCAGACTATTGACGGAGTGGTTATTGGATTAGGAGAAGGTGATGTAAAAGCCAGCCTTTTGTCTAAGAAGGCTTTTTGGATTTAACGTCTAGGTGGTAGAATGCTGGAAGGTCTCCATTACTGCTGGGACATGGATTTATTTACAGGTCATTAAAGAAAATGATTGGATGTACTGTATATATTATTGTGTGTGTATTCTAGTGTGAAAAGGTTTAACATGCCTATATAAAGATGTATATAGAGGGTTAGCGTGCTCATGACTTAGAAAATTTGTTATTGGTTTGCAATGGGTTTTCTTCTTAGGCTCCATTCACACCTATGTAGTTTGCTTTTTGTCCATTTTGCAGTGCTTTTCGCAGTTCATTTTGCGTTTTCCTACATACATTTTTGACTAGTTTTTACCGCATTTTGTTAAGCTTTTTTTTTTTTTTAAAGTGGAATTTGTTTTGTTGCTGGACAGAATAAAAATGCTAAACTCAAAAGGTGGCAAAAACATGGCAAAAAATGCACTACCATGCATTTCACCAGATTCTCCATTGAAATCTATTGTAGCAAAAGCGCAGCTTTTTGCTTTTAAAAAGTCCCTGACCATTTCCAAAAACACAGCAGCTCAAAAAAACACAGATGTGAACATGTTCCATTGGAAACCATGTTAAATGGACTGTAGTGCGTTTCTGCAAAAAGCTCTAAAAAAAGCATTGGTGTGAACGGAGCCTTATTTTCAGATCAAATTGCGCTTTTCACATGCACTAGCTTTCTATACTTTTTGCGAAGATGTTTTTAAATATGTGAATTAAAAGCAGAATTACTCAGACAAAAGTTAACTAAAAAAATAAAAAAACCAACAAAAAATTACAAAAACATGTATAAATAATAATAATAAAAAAAGATTGGCAGACTCGATGGACCATTTGGTCTTTTTCTGCCATCACTTATATGTTTCTAATTAAACCAACCCCTCTCCTCGCTTCTCTGTCAGCGCCACCATCTTTGATTGGTCTTTTTTCTGATCCAGGA